TTTTTTTTTTTTTTTTACTCATTTATTTTTCTTCATGCTTTTTAATTTCATTTGTTTGAAAATGTAACATATTAAGGTGCCACCAAAGATAAAATGTCATTTTCTCCTACCAGTTTTGTTTTTAGCCTCTAATTTACCTTTCCTGGGGCATCAATGGCAAAGAAAATGGATACCTGCATCTTTTATTTTCCTTTCTTACACAAATGCTGATGTACAGTGTATGCTTTCTTCTTAATGCTCATGTTATTTTAAAGACTTTTACTTAAAATAATGTTTCCCATAACTTCTAAAATAGTCCAGAGTGTTCCTGTGTTCCTCACGGAGGCTTAAATGGTCTTCATGTTTCTCCAGCAGCACTGTGTCAAATGGGAAGTTGGCTCTGCTGCTGTCACCGTCCCTCTGGTCCCGGCACCCTAGCAGGTGTACAAGCTGGTAAACTGGTCACTACGCACAGACTCAGGGCCATGGCAACTGCCCCTGTTGCACCAAACTTGGATTTACTGTCCGCTCACCTACTTCCCTGGCTCCTTGCAATCTCTGACCTGCTTTGAATTGTTATCATCTTGTCCTTTTGACAAGCCTGCACAAACGGAACATATTTCACCATCTGATATTGGCCTGCCTTCCACTCAGCACAATGTACTTGAGATCCAAGTTGTGTGTATCAGTGGTTGTTCCTTCCTATTGATAAGCTCTAGGCTGTGTTACCTATCCACTGTGGTTTGTTTAGCTAGTCACTTACTGGAGGGTATTTTAATCAGTTCCAGTTTGGGACTATTACAAATGAAGCTTCTTATGAACAATCATGTACAGATTTGAGTGTGAACATAAGCTTTCCTGTGTCTGGGATAAATATTCAGGGTGTGATTGTTGGGTGGTATGGTAAATGTATGTTTAGTTTTTAAAGAAACTGTCAAACTATTTTCCAGAGACAATGTACTCTTTTACATTCCCAAGGGTAGTGTATGGGATATCCAGTGTTCCTGCATCCTTGCCAGCATTTTATTTTGCCATCAGTTTCCATGATAGCTGTTTTATTAGGCTTGACTAGAGTCTGTTCGTGCTTCCCTTTTGGGTCAAGATAGACCAACAGGTCAGCAGGACCAGGGTGTGGGAAGCTGGACCTTCCTCCCCCATCTTGTGCCTCAAAGACAATGGGGGAACACTTTGGGGCTTCCTAAATGGTGAGCCACTGCCTCCCTGTCACTCAGTCTTCCGCCCCTTAGGCGCTCTTAAAGGGAAATAGGGTGTCTGGCCCTGTAACGATGTGCGCACCGCTGCTCCAGCTGCCACCTTGTGCCCCCTGCCATCTCCCTCCTTCCCATCACTGCTGGCAGGAAGGCCAGTGCTCCCTCCCCAGGGCTGTCAGTATGCTGTTGCCCTGTGTCCCCAAGCAGGGCTCTGAGCCTGCCACCAGAATAGAAAAGTGTGCCCCTGTGTCTCCTGGATGTAATTCTTAAAAGGAAAAAGAAGTGTAGAAAGCCTCTGCCTGTATCTTTCTCAGTCTCTCTCAACAAGCCAGACTTAAAGCTAAATGTCTTGCTGTAAAGCCCTGCTTGGATATTCGGAGTGGTGCGTACATTGTCCTGTGAAGGTTATTTCATAGTGTGCTCAGAGGATGCTTTTGGATGAGGTTAATGTTTCAGTCAACAAACACTGGATGAAGCGGTCTGCCCTCCACAATGTGAGTAAAGCCAAGGAAAGAAGAAGCCAGGTGCCAGACAGCCAGCCACCAGAGGGGCAGCCAGAGCAGGCACAGGTAGTGAGTTCAGCAGCCTCGTGGTGTGGGAAGAGAATTACGCACACAGCATCCAACAAGGGGCCCAGCTGTCAGCTGACACCAGTGGATGGGCCAGGTCTGGATATGCGAGATCAGCCGTGACGGGTGACCCTGACCCCGTGTACTTTTCCTGCAGCCAGAAGAACATGTTACTGGCTCTGAAGGATGATTAACCAGCCAGAGTCTTTGCTGATGTTCACACACATTGTCCAGCACAGTCCAGACTCCTCCAGGTCTGGCCCGTCTTTGTCCTTTGGCGAGCCTAAAAATGACTTCCCATTCTGAGCCTCAGTTTCCTCAGTGTGAGTAGGGGAGGAGTGAAGAAGCCACCTCACGGTGCTACCATGAGCAATGCCAGACCCCCATGACAGAGAAATGTTCCCTTTCTCCCAGCCCCTCACATCCTCCACACTGATAGTTTAAAGGCCAACTGTGGAAGACATGTCCCAAGTGGATGTGTCCAGCAGGGATGTGATAAGGACAGTACAAAGCAGCACAAATCCCCTCACAAATCCCAGACAGGGCCCTGACGTCAATTCTTCAAAGATTGTTTGCCCTTTAAGGGCCTAGCAGCTCATGCCTTCCTGGGAACAAGGGTATAGCATCTTATCAGGAGAGACAGGCAGGCCATCTGCCTTCTTGGAAATTACTTTATACCAAGCCATAAAAATTGTTTTTCAAAATCTTAATTCTCCCATGGGCAACACTGAGCCTTCACTGTCCTGTGTTCTGCACGTAACCAAACCCCACCGAGACCTGGTGGGATGTTCCCACCATCGGGGGAACTGTTCCCACCGCCGGGCCGGCTCTCTGCAGTTTCCTCAGCTGTCCTCCTGCCGGGGTCCTCACCCTGGCCCACCCCTGATAAGAGCCCTGGAGCTACCCTGTACTCCTAGCAAACTTCACTGTGGGAGTGACAGATCTCGTCCCCACTGTACATGTGTGTGGTGTCTTGATGTGGGAACAAAATCTGGGGTGGAGGTCATGATACATCTCCCGAGCCACAATGGCCAGCCCTTCCGATCCAACTGCAGCTCCACACAGAAACCCCACCCTGACCGGTCTGCAGGCTTTGTTCTGAGCCGTGCCCAGGTAAGGGTCCTTGGGTACACTGCATCAGTCATGTGTCAACCCAGCGATGCGCCCAAAGAAGAAGGAGGAAAAGACATATGACGTGCTCCCTAGACTCCCACGGTTCCCACGGAAAGATGAGATCCAGCAAGTATTCGGAGGGCTGAGAGGCATGTTCAGGGCCATTCTCCCAGCAAGAGTGGCGCTAACTCTACCACAGGGCCCGGCATCGACTCCCAGGCTGGTAAGCAAGGCTCCATGAGTGCTATTTTGCCCAGTTATGGGTGAATCAGATCAGCCTTGAAGACGCAGACCACATCCCAGTCTCCATGGTTAGTCCACAGTAAGGTCGTGTTCTATAAATTTGAATTGAGCAAAATTTCTGGAACTCAAAGGGTCTTGAAATAGCATTCAAACACTTTGCATGAAGCAAAGACACCCCAAAGGCTCCGTGAGCCTCATTTAAAAGGTGATGTCAGCTTTGCAGAGATGAAGGCCTGAGACACCACCTCTACTTTAGGAGCAAAGGGTATTGCTGTACAGGACTTCGGCTAAGGTTCAGCAAACTTTTTCTGTAAAGGGCCAGATAATAAATATTTTACCTTTGTGGGCCACCTTATCTCTGCCTGGATGTCTCAACTCTAGTGGGTATTGAGAAAGAGAATGGACAGTATGTAAATACATGGATGGCTTTAAGCTAATAAAGCATTACTTGCTAACACTGGATAATGATTTTTATACAGCTCTCAGGGATCACAAAATACTATTTCCCTTTTGATTTTCATTCAGAAATTTTAAAATGCAAGCAAACTCGGTGATGTGGTGGCAAGTTTATAATCCCAGCACTCGGGAGGCTGAGAGAGGAGAATCACTGTGAGTTTGAGGCCAGCCTGGGATATATAGTGAGTACAGAAGCAGCTTGAACTACATTGTGAGACCCTGTATCATAAAAGCAGGGGAGGGGGTTAGCTTGTAGGCTGTACAAGAGGGGAAGAAGAGACCATAGTCACGCAACTGCCTACAAGTGAGGGTGACACAAGCAGGAGTGACATATGGGGTGTATGATTCAGCCTCAGGTGATTAGCAAAGCACAGGATTCCTCAAGATACAGAACAAGGGGACATGCCAGCAGGTGGCAGATGCAGAGACCAGAATACTAGGCTCCATCCTCACTAGACAGAGGATTGGGACAGATCATGGCTAAGAGGGAGGACGTGCCGACTCAACTCTAGGAGGACTGTGGGGACGGCACCTAGAAAAGAAGGAACAGCAAGGCCGGGAGGAGCCGCTGCAGCCCAGATGGACCTGAGGTTCACACAGGATTCAAGGACCAAGGTGGGGACCCCGCCAGCTTCACAGGCTCTGATGCCTGGTCTGAGCTGCCAAGGTCACTGTCCTTGGTGCTGCTCCCACAGCTGGATGCAATGTGGGGTCTCAGAGCCCCAAATCCCGGTATCAGGGAGCCAGGGCCAGCTCGGCAGCACCCCCACCCCAGCTTCCCCCTAGGCCTCTGCAGCCTCCCCCAGGCCCTGCAGAGCAAGGCCACAGCTAATCTGCTCTCCCAGCAGATTCCTCTGCAGAGAGATAAGCTGCCTCCCAGCCAAGGTGGGTGGGAAATCAGAACAACTTCCTTACTTGGGTTTTTTCCAGTTGAGAGAACATTCTATACCATGCTCACCGGTGTCGCTTAATTACCAAGTGTTTTCATGTTTGAGAAGACCCCAAATTGCAGAGAGACAGAGAGACAGAGAGAGAGAGAGAGGGAGAGAGAGAAGGAGAGAGAGAGAAGAGGAGGAGGAGAGAGGAAGGGAGAGAGGCAGGGGAGAGAGAGATCTTTGGGATTTAGCAGAGGAATGTGAGGCCTAATTTTGCCTAATTACGAAATGTCTGGGCGGCAACTCTGACACGTCCCAGAGTAGGCAATGCAGACCCCTGGGCCTCGCGGGCGGTGGGGGCCCGGGGGCGCTGATGCAGATGTTTACCTGATGTCTTG